GTCACTGTACAGGATCGTATACACAATCATTTACTGTCACTGTGGAGGATCCTATACACAATCATATACTGTCACTGTGGAGGATCCTATACACAATCATATACTGTCACTGTGGAGGATCCTATACACAATCATTTACTATCACTGTACAGGATCCTATACACAATCATTTGCTGTCACTGTAGAGGATCCTATACACAATCATGTACTGTCACTGTGGAGGATCCTATACACAATCATTTGCTGTCACTGTAGAGGATCCTATACACAATCATTCACTGTCACTGTAGAGGATCCTATACACAATCATGTACTGTCACTGTGGAGGATCCTATACACAATCATATACTGTCACTGTGGAGGATCCTATACACAATCATATACTGTCACTGTGGAGGATCCTATACACAATCATTTACTATCACTGTACAGGATCCTATACACAATCATTTGCTGTCACTGTAGAGGATCCTATACACAATCATGTACTGTCACTGTGGAGGATCCTATACACAATCATTTACTGGCACTGTGGAGGATCCTATACACAATCATTTAATGTCACTGTAGAGGATCCTATACACAATCATTCACTGTCACTGTAGAGGATCCTATACACAATCGTTTACTGTCACTGTAGAGGATCCTATATGCAATCATTTATACACAATCATCTACTGTCACTGTGAAGGGTCCTATACACAATCATTTACTGTCACTGTACAGAATCCTATACACAATCATTTACTGTCACTGTAGTGGATCCTATACACAATCATTTACTGTCACTGGAGAGGATCCTATAGACAATCATTTACTGTCACTTTAGAGGATCCTATACACAAGCATTTACTGTCACTGTAGAGGATCCTATACACAATCGTTTACTGTCACTGTAGAGGATCCTATATGCAATCATTTATACACAATCATCTACTGTCACTGTGAAGGGTCCTATACACAATCATTTACTGTCACTGTACATGATCCTATACACAATCATTTACTGTCACTGTACATGATCCTATACACAATCATTTACTGTCACTGTAGAGGATCCTATAGACAATCATTTACTGTCACTGTAGAGGATCCTATACACAATCATGTACTGTCACTGTAGAGGATCCTTTACACAATTATTTACTGCCACTGTACAGGATCATATACACAATCATTTACTGTCACTGTAGAGGATCCTATACACAATCATCTACTGTCACTGTAGAGGATCCTATACACAATCATCTACTGTCACTGTAGAGGATCCTATACACAATCATCTACTGTCACTGTGGAGGATCCTATACACAATCATTTACTGTCACTGTATAGGATCCTATACACAATCATGTACTGTCACTGTGGAGGATCCTATACACAATCATTTACTGTCACTGTACAGGATCCTATACACAATCATGTACTGTCACTGTGGAGGATCCTATACACAATCATTTACTGTCACTGTATAGGATCCTATACACAATCATGTACTGTCACTGTGGAGGATCCTATACACAATCATTTACTGTCACTGTAGTGGATCCTATACTCAATCATTTACTGTCATTGTAGAAGATCCTATACACAATCATTTACTGTCACTGTAGAGGATCCTATACACAATCATTTACTGTCACTGTAGTGGATCCTATACTCAATCATTGACTGTCATTGTAGAAGATCCTATACACAATCATTTACTGTCACTTTAGAGGATCCTATACACAATCATGTACTGTCACTGTAGAGGATCCTATACACAATCATTTACTGTCACAGTAGATGATCCTATACATAATCATTTACTGTCACTGTAGAGGATCCTATACACAATAATTTACTGTCACTGTAGAGGATCCTATACACAATCGTTTACTGTCACTGTAGAGGATCCTATATGCAATCATTTACTGTTACTGTAGTGGATCCTATACACAATCATTTACTGTCACCGTAGATGATCCTATACACAATCATTTACTGTCACTGTAGAGGATCCTATACACAATCATGTACTGTCACTGTAGAGGATCCTATACACAATAATTTACTGTCACTGTACAGGATCCTATACACAATCGTTTACTGTCACTGTAGAGGATCCTATACACAATCATTTACTGTCACTGTAGAGGATCCTATACACAATCATTTACTGCCACTGTACAGGATCATATACACAATCATTTACTGTCACTGTAGAGGATCCTATACACAATCATTTACTGTCACTGTAGTGGATCCTATACACAATCATTTACTGTCACCGTAGATGATCCTATACACAATCATTTACTGTCACTGTAGAGGATCCTATACACAATCATCTACTGTCACTGTGGAGGATCCTATACACAATCATTTACTGTCACTGTACAGGATCCTATACACAATCATTTACTGCCACTGTACAGGATCATATACACAATCATTTACTGTCACTGTAGAGGATCCTATACACAATCATTTACTGTCACTGTGGAGGATCCTATACACAATCATTAACCGTCACTTTATCAAATGAACAAAAGAACAAACAATAGCTTTGCTAAAATATTTGTAGGTGAGGGACTGAATTAATTGCTCTAATGTCTGTAAGGAGATGGGCCAATAAATTACTATTATGTTTGTAAGGGAGGGGACTGTACAAATAAAAATTATATGTAGTGATAGAGACCAATTAATTGATGTAATGGTATGGCTGATATTTCTGTAAAGTAGAAATCTTTGTGAATCCTTAGTTGGCCATTACTACAGACAATGGAAGAACGTCTTTAGTGATTGGACAGGATGGGTTTGGGTATTGACATTCTTTTGGAGACTTTTGGAAACTAGGATATTTCTTGTATTCCTTGACATTTTTAGGATAACTGTCCAAATATTCAAATTCCAAAAGCAGTCATGAATAAAATGGCCGTATTATTTCAAACGTGTATTGATCTACTAATCTGCAGTTTTAGAAAATTGCCCTACACTTCTTTTACAAATATGCCATTTAAATAGGCATAATTGGCTGCAGAGGTGGGACTGAAGACGAGGAATCGGACACCCCCAACTCGTTTTAATGTTGCTCGGTAACATTGCTAGCAATAATGCTTTGACCTTGATATAAACAACAGCCATTTTGAAGTTGAGCATTGCATGAAGAGAAGAAACAGCTATGTAGTAATTGCATGTTTAATGCCAGATAAGAACCATTGGCTGTAATAAAATCAATTTTAGTGTATCCTAGTGTAATGTTTTGTATAACATGTAATCTCCTCTGGTGTCTTTTGGTCGATGGCTGTGGAGCAAAGCATAGTTGAGGCATGAGTTAGTGTACTACCAAACATGCACACACAGCAAGTTTGGGATGGAGGGCACTCTATGTAGCAGTGTAGTGTTTATAAAATTTAAATGGATATTATAGTGTGGGAAGACAATTCTATGTAACGTAATTAAAGAAATTCTCATGGAAGATAGGTCGGGTGAACTTAAAGTTTAACCCATTCATCCCTAAAGTCTCGTTTGAACCTTACCAAATCTAAGACTGGGCAAGTCCAGTTTAAATATGTAGGGATGAATGAGTTAAGATATACTCTTATGGTCTTGGTATAAAGGTATGGTTAGCATATTTGCCTATTTTTGAAAAATGTTCAAGGGAAGGAAATGTGTGACAAAATCTAAATATGTCTAAGAAGTACAATGCTACTTTAAAGATCTAATGGGGAAATCCTTAAATGTAAAGCTGTATTTCTAGCTAACAAAAATGTCTTTCCAGCTGAGGAGGGAAGGTAACTTCTCGCTTTATTCACTTAGCCTCTCTGGAATACAAGCACATGCATTGATCCTGAATCAAAATCATCTTCCAACATCACCTTAATCTGAAACATCGTTATAAATTATCGATTGATCTGTTATTCTCCCTGCGGCACCCTCACGGTGCATGCATGTTCTAATTAAACCTGTTCGTTTTTATTCAACTCCAAATATGAACAGAAATATCTGATTAGAGGTATATATTATGATACTTATAATTCTTACTTGCAATGTATTGTGTACATTCAAGAATGCACTTTGTGTGGACTCAGACTCGAAACAGACGCTGTGTTGTCGGCCGACAGCGTAGTACTGTACATGTTAATTTACTTCTCACTGAAAGGCCCGGATGTTGCACTTTTTCGGTCGTAGCTATTTTTATTAACGGCTTTCCCAAAAGATGAAACTGACCACACTGAACGTTGGCTTCAGGTCATGTCATTGTCAACCACATACACTTTCGTTAGGAGATACATATTTTCAGTATAGACTGGATTTTTAGGTTGTCATTTTACTTAATATAACCCCTTTAAATCTTAGGCTCTTTTGAAGAAAATAAATATAAGAAGTACTACATTTCTTGGAGAGAGACAGCATATGTGTAACATATTACATTGAGCTGTGATATCAGAACCAAAATGGCGGACCACGATGTCCAGTCGGGGCCTATGACTGGTAAAACAAAGGCTAATATCCGGTAATAAGCCCCAGTGACCCCCTACTATTGAAATGTTTTCATGCACAGGCCTCCTTTTCTTATCACCAATAAAATACCATAATGTGAGTTTCAGTGTAAAAAAAACACCTCATATTGGCAATCACAACACCTTTTATGTTGGTCCCTCATCTAAAACCCTGCTGCTGGGTTACCATCAAACAAATTGGATCATTTTTCTGTGAGGAAGTGTCAGACTCAATGAATAATCAATGATTGGGTTAACTTTTTTGTCTCTCTCTCTGACTCCAAACAATCCCAGAGATGCTGGTGTGTTTTGTTAGCAGCATTGTGCTGAATACTGGGACATGTGTGCCAGGACAAATATTCGCCTTTTTCTAATAAATGCCAGGTTCTCCCTGTGTTAACTTCGCCCTTCACATGTTATTTCTTTATTGTATGTTGGGTATTAATATTCGCTGTTAAGATGAATTTGCCCTCATTGGGTGAAAAGGTTGTAATTGTTATCTTTTCTTTCCAGTCATTCCATAGCACAGACAGAGAAAGCCAAGTTTGGGGAGCTTTGTCAGGTGAGTTAATTACAGGTACAACAGGTGATACTTAGCTTTGTTAGGTGAGTGAATTACAGTTACAACAGGTGATACTTAGCTTTGTCAGGCGAGTTAATTACAGGTACAACAGGTGATAATTAGCTTTGTTAGGTGAGTGAAATACAGGTACAACAGGTGATAGTTAGCTTTGTTAGGTGAGTGAAATACAGGTACAACAGGTGATACTTAGCTTTGTCAAGTGAGTGAATTACAGGTACAACAAGTGATACTTAGCTTTGTTAGGCGAGTGAATTACAGGTACAACGGGTGATACTTAGCTTTGTTAGGTGAGTGAATTACAGGTACAACAGGTGATACTTAGCTTTGTCAGGTGAGTGAATTACAGGTACAACAGGTGATACTTAGCTTTGTCAGGTGAGTGAATTACAGGTACAACAGGTGATACTTAGCTTTGTCAGGTGAGTGAATTACAGGTACAACAGGTGATACTTAGCTTTGTCAGGTGAGTGAATTACAGGTACAACAGGTGATACTTAGCTTTGTCAGGTGAGTGAATTACAGGTACAACAGGTGATACTTAGCTTTGTCAGGTGAGTGAATTACAGGTACAACAGGTGATACTTAGCTTTGTCAGGTGAGTGAATTACAGGTACAACAGGTGATACTTAGCTTTGTCAGGTGAGTGAATTACAGGTACAACAGGTGATACTTAGCTTTGTCAGGTGAGTGAATTACAGGTACAACAGGTGATACTTAGCTTTGTCAGGTGAGTGAATTACAGGTACAACAGGTGATACTTAGCTTTGTTAGGTGAGTGAATTACAGGTACAACAGGTGATACTTAGCTTTGTCAGGTGAGTGAATTACAGGTACAACAGGTGATACTTAGCTTTGTTAGGTGAGTGAATTACAGGTACAACAGGTGATACTTAGCTTTGTTAGGTGAGTGAATTACAGGTACAACAGGTGATACTTAGCTTTGTCAGGTGAGTGAATTACAGGTACAACAGGTGATACTTAGCTTTGTCAGGTGAGTGAATTACAGGTACAACAGGTGATACTTAGCTTTGTCAGGTGAGTGAATTACAGGTACAACAGGTGATACTTAGCTTTGTCAGGTGAGTGAATTACAGGTACAACAGGTGATACTTAGCTTTGTCAGGTGAGTGAATTACAGGTACAACAGGTGATACTTAGCTTTGTCAGGTGAGTGAATTACAGGTACAACAGGTGATACTTAGCTTTGTCAGGTGAGTGAATTACAGGTACAACAGGTGATACTTAGCTTTGTCAGGTGAGTGAATTACAGGTACAACAGGTGATACTTAGCTTTGTCAGGTGAGTGAATTACAGGTACAACAGGTGATACTTAGCTTTGTCAGGTGAGTGAATTACAGGTACAACAGGTGATACTTAGCTTTGTCAGGTGAGTGAATTACAGGTACAACAGGTGATACTTAGCTTTGTCAGGTGAGTGAATTACAGGTACAACAGGTCATACTTAGCTTTGTCAGGTGAGTGAATTACAGGTACAACAGGTCATACTTAGCTTTGTCAGGTGAGTTAATTACAGGTACAACAGGTGATACTTAGCTTTGTCAGGTGAGTGAATTACAGGTACAACAGGTCATACTTAGCTTTGTCAGGTGAGTGAATTACAGGTACAACAGGTCATACTTAGCTTTGTCAGGTGAGTTAATTACAGGTACAACAGGTGATACTTAGCTTTGTCAGGTGAGTGAATTACAGGTACAACAGGTCATACTTAGCTTTGTCAGGTGAGTGAATTACAGGTACAACAGGTCATACTTAGCTTTGTCAGGTGAGTTAATTACAGGTACAACAGGTCATACTTAGCTTTGTCAGGTGAGTTAATTACAGGTACAACAGGTCATACTTAGCTTTGTTAGGTGAGTTAATTACAGGTACAACAGGTCATACTTAGCTTTGTTAGGTGAGTTAATTACAGGTACAACAGGTCATACTTAGCTTTGTTAGGTGAGTTAATTACAGGTACAACAGGTCATACTTAGCTTTGTTAGGTGAGTTAATTACAGGTACAACAGGTCATACTTAGCTTTGTTAGGTGAGTTAATTACAGGTACAACAGGTCATACTTAGCTTTGTTAGGTGAGTTAATTACAGGTACAACAGGTCATACTTAGCTTTGTTAGGTGAGTTAATTACAGGTACAACAGGTCATACTTAGCTTTGTTAGGTGAGTTAATTACAGGTACAACAGGTCATACTTAGCTTTGTTAGGTGAGTTAATTACAGGTACAACAGGTCATACTTAGCTTTGTTAGGTGAGTTAATTACAGGTACAACAGGTCATACTTAGCTTTGTCATGTGAGTTAATTACAGGTACAACAGGTCATACTTAGCTTTGTTAGGTGAGTTAATTACAGGTACAACAGGTCATACTTAGCTTTGTTAGGTGAGTTAATTACAGGTACAACAGGTCATACTTAGCTTTGTTAGGTGAGTTAATTACAGGTACAACAGGTCATACTTAGCTTTGTTAGGTGAGTTAATTACAGGTACAACAGGTCATACTTAGCTTTGTTAGGTGAGTTAATTACAGGTACAACAGGTCATACTTAGCTTTGTTAGGTGAGTTAATTACAGGTACAACAGGTCATACTTAGCTTTGTTAGGTGAGTTAATTACAGGTACAACAGGTCATACTTAGCTTTGTTAGGTGAGTTAATTACAGGTACAACAGGTCATACTTAGCTTTGTTAGGTGAGTTAATTACAGGTACAACAGGTCATACTTAGCTTTGTTAGGTGAGTTAATTACAGGTACAACAGGTCATACTTAGCTTTGTTAGGTGAGTTAATTACAGGTACAACAGGTCATACTTAGCTTTGTTAGGTGAGTTAATTACAGGTACAACAGGTCATACTTAGCTTTGTTAGGTGAGTTAATTACAGGTACAACAGGTCATACTTAGCTTTGTTAGGTGAGTTAATTACAGGTACAACAGGTCATACTTAGCTTTGTTATGTGAGTTAATTACAGGTACAACAGGTCATACTTAGCTTTGTTAGGTGAGTTAATTACAGGTACAACAGGTCATACTTAGCTTTGTTAGGTGAGTTAATTACAGGTACAACAGGTCATACTTAGCTTTGTTAGGTGAGTTAATTACAGGTACAACAGGTCATACTTAGCTTTGTTAGGTGAGTTAATTACAGGTACAACAGGTCATACTTAGCTTTGTTAGGTGAGTTAATTACAGGTACAACAGGTCATACTTAGCTTTGTTAGGTGAGTTAATTACAGGTACAACAGGTCATACTTAGCTTTGTTAGGTGAGTTAATTACAGGTACAACAGGTCATACTTAGCTTTGTTAGGTGAGTTAATTACAGGTACAACAGGTCATACTTAGCTTTGTTAGGTGAGTTAATTACAGGTACAACAGGTCATACTTAGCTTTGTTAGGTGAGTTAATTACAGGTACAACAGGTCATACTTAGCTTTGTCAGGTGAGTTAATTACAGGTACAACAGGTCATACTTAGCTTTGTTAGGTGAGTTAACCTAAAGTACAACAGGTCATACTTAGCTTTGTTAGGTGAGTGAATTACAGGTACAACAGGTCATACTTAGCTTTGTTAGGTGAGTTAACCAAAAGTACAACAGGTCATACTTAGCTTTGTTAGGTGAGTGAATTACAAGTACAACAGGTGATACTTAGCTTTGTCAGGCGAGTTAATTACAGGTACAACAGGTCATACTTAGCTTTGTCAGGTGAGTGAATGACAGGTACAACAGGTGATACTTAGCTTTGTCAGGCGAGTTAATTACAGGTACAACAGGTCATGCTTAGCTTTGTTAGGTGAGTTAACCAAAAGTACAACAGGTCATACATGTATTTAGATAAGCTCTTTAAACCTTAACCTAATTTTAAACCTAACCTGGTGTTTGTGAAGGCGATTTTATCAATTATTATTTCAAATTAGTGATACATATCTGGTAGATTTAACTTAAATTGTAAGCTTCTCCTTGTAATACTGAGACCTCCACTAAACTGATTTAAACCTTGTGATACTGATGTCTCCATTAATTAGTGGGAGCCTTTTAATAATCAGACCATCACTTAATTGATGTAAACCTTGTAATACTGACGTCTCCATTAATTAGTGCAAGCCTTTTAATAATCAGACCATCACTTAATTGCTGTAGGCCCTGTGGTACTGAGACAAAATGACAGCACTAGAGGCTTTCAGAAAAGGTTAAACATTTTTAAAAACATCTGACACTTTCTACAGGTTAGCAGGTTCTGATTACTGTAAAAAGTTATCTTGGAAATTAAAACGACCGGATATAATAACCATGCAGTCTCTTTCGGGAGTCGTGTGTATATTGATTTATCCTGAATAGGAGTGCACTTCAAGAGCAAGCTAGCTTGCATAGCAGTCATTAGAAAGGATAAGTCACCACTCATGTTGTGTTATTGAATAGCTACCAGTAGTAGGAAGTAAAAATTAATTGGAGAACTTGTTTAGAGAAACTGGTCTGTGAACTGTACTAAAAAGAAAAAATTGTATCCAGTGCTTCCAAGGGAAGTCCCATCATGAACCACATACAGAGCTCCCCTATACTAATAGTAATTATATTTGTTATACAGGGGATCAATACATCACTCATATATAAATTAACTGATTGTTAGCTACTATTTTATCTATATTCTCATTGGTGTATGTTATTATTTATCATTACAGTTTGCACCTGGCCGTTTGTGGTTTGCAAGATATGTCAATTCACAGGTGGGTGATTCTTATATTTGGCTAGTGTTGCTCTCTAGCATATGATATTACTTGTACATGTATCAGTATATCCCGGAAGTTCGCTACGGCCCATATTATTCCGGTGATGAATATATCAGAATGTTTAAATCTTGCTATCCTATTTCTGTAGTGTAGCTGTAAAAGAATCATAGAAATAAAAGCAGTATCTCATACTTTTTGCACCAACCGTGATGTGCGTTACCATGGTGATTTGGTATTTAGTAAGAATTTTCTCCCAGTAGTCTAGAAAGGCAGCGTATATGCGTAAGGATAATTAATGTTGGCAGCTGTGAATGGTATCCTTATTTTGCTAAACTAATCAAAATGGTTTCCCAAGATGAAAGTTATCCCTTGGCTGACCACAGAGAAGGGCACTAGTGGCCGTGGACACCGTAGAGATTTCCTTGACGATACAGTCCAAACAGACAGAACACACCATCTTGATTCTTTCTGTAACTCAATGTAATTAAATGCTGAGACAATACAGACAGACCGCCTCTGATCACTTGTCACCGATACAAGATACCGATTCTCGAAGAAAACATCTCGACGGAAATTGAGTCATTTAATGTCTTTTTTCCGTGCTTGGTAATTTAATGGTAGAGTAAAGAACAGTGTCTTTCACAAATCAAAGAAAAAGAAGAAATGGACATTCATGTTTTTATATATGGACATTTGTGTTACAGCTTTCTCCTTCTATTGCACTCTATGATAGAAATGGTGGCGCCCCCTATATAAATCCTCATCCTATCTAATATAAGATGATGGCCCTATATAAACCGCACCGTATCCAATACGAGATGGTGGCCTTACATATAAACCTTACTCTAACACAAAATTGTTGCCCTATAGAAGTATCACCCTACCCAAAACCAGATTGGCAAGTCGCATGAGGGACATTCTATTGGGGGCTTACTGTACAAGTAGACTAGAGTCATTTCCAACAGTTGTTTTTTAGGTCACTTGAGACTTTAGGTCACCTGAGACAAAGTCTCAAGTGACCTATTGCGATCGCCTTTTGTCCGCCGGCGTCCGGTGTCCTTGTGCGTCCGTAAACAATTTACATTTTCGACTTCTTCTCCAAAACCCCTGAACCAATTTCAATGAAATTTTGCAGAAACTTTCCATGGCCAAAGGTCAACTAAAATTGTGAATTATATGGTCCCCAGCCCCCAGGGGCCTGAGGGGCCAGCCAAAAAGGGTCAAATTGACTAAAATTTCAAAAATCTTCTTCTCAAGATCCAGATATGGTAGAATCAAATACTCTTCATAGATTGAAGGGTCTTAAGGTGCTTTACTAAAATTGTGAATTTCTTGACCCTGGGGTCTCACGTTTCCCCCTGGGAGGGGATAAACTTTACTATAGTTTATATAGGGAAATCACATTTTGGACCAACGTTTGTTTAATTGCCATTGGAAGTAATTCAATTTAGGTTAGCATTATCAGTATTTGGTAGCAGTTTGATAGTATGCACATATCAGCCCTGACTGAACCCCAGGGGCTGATGGGTGGGGCCAAAAAGGGTCGAATTGACTGAAATTTCAAAATCTTCTTCTCAAGACCAGATATGGTAGAATCAAATACTCTTCATAGATGGAATGGTTTTTAGGTGCTCTACCAAAATTGTGAATTTTATGACCCTAGGGTCTCACGTTTTCCCCTGGGGAAGGAGGAGGGGGGTGCAAAATTTGTTATGGTTTATAATGGCAAATGAATTACTTTGAATATTACATGTTGAACGATAACTTGATTGGAATTATAACCCCTTAGTTGACAGTTTGATACTTTGAAAATTTTGGGCCATCCCTACCCCCAAGGGCTGTAGGATGGGGCCCAATGGAGTCTGTGTGCTAAAATTTCCTCATTTTCCTTGTTTAGAATCAGAGGTGCTAGTTTCAAATACTTTCAGTCTTAAATCTGCATGCTAGATATTGAATAAGGTGCTTTTATTGTTTTTTGTCACTTTGAATAATATTTCTGTTCATGCTAAAAACAAAAATTAACTCTCTGTATAAATATATCAGGTGACCGTTAAGGCCCATGGGCCTCTTGTTTGTATTGCCATCAATTTTTAACAAATTTCTGTTCAGTTATTAATATATAATCTAGATAGTAAATTCCTATTTTATATAGCTTTACATCAAAGCTGATGGACTAAGATTATTCTAAGTAAGGGTTATTATGGGTTAAAAGCATGATTCATACATACTTTATAACCAACAGACTGACAATAATGACAGATGTTTCCCGTATAGGCTCGAGACAGATCTGATAATTTTTAATGATGGATCCTAGACTGTATTATACAAATAATAGAGAATTATTGGGTATCAAGGTCAGGTGAAAGTTCAAAAACAAGGACATACATTAATATTGGGCATTAAAATAAGGACAAAGTTCAATTATCAAGGATGATAAATTGATACTTACTAATGTTACACAAAGTCTTACAACTAATCTGAAGAAAAAGTTTCTGATTCTTTAATAGGGACTTAATCATCTGAATATAAAGGCAGATATGCCTGCATTCAGAATGAACTAAGTTAAACTAAATTGAAGTTCAATTAATTTTGTATTGTATTTGTTTCAGAGAGTACACAATAAGAATGTATCGGAGCAGATATTTTTCCAGTTGGTGCAGTACTTTGCTGTTGTCCTGTTCGAGTGTAACGAGGCAGAAGACTTCTCACCTGCAAAGTCCCTGATGAACATGTGCTTTACCTTCTTCTATGAAAGTGAGAATACAACACTATTTCTAGAAATTTGATCAAAATGGTCTATTATTGATCTCTGTCGTGGTCACATACCTTCACAAAGGCCACCGCAGTAGTCAGTTTTGTAGCTCGAGTCCATCCATCTTCTGTAATTGAATACAGTAGACGCTGTTGTTCCAAATGGAGAGCTTGTAATGACAACTGTCAACCTTTAGATTGGACACTGTTTTGTTAGGGTATGGCTTATATTTACTGCTGAAATCTTTAAGAAAAATAGTAAAATTATTCAACTGTTATACAAGAGAAAGGTCAATGTAACATTATAAGAACAGCAGAAGAAAAAATCAATTAACAGGCAACACTATCAGAAAGGTCAATGTGTCATTATCAGAAAGGTTGAGGTAACAGCATCAGAAATGTCATGTTATTGGCAACATTATCAGAAAGGTCAAGGTATCAGTTACAGAAAGGTCAAAATAAAAGGCGACAGTAGTGGAAAGAACTAGGTGACAATCAGAAAAGTCAAGGTTACAGGCACAGAAAGGTCAACGTAAAAGATGACAGTAGTGGAAAGACCAAGGTGACATTATCAGAAAGGTCAAGGTAACAGCATCAGAAATGTCAAGTTATTGGCAATATTATCAGAAAGGTCAAGGTAACAGCAGCAGAAACAATCAAGTAACAGGCAACATTATCAGAAAGGTCAAGGTATCAGTTACAGAAAGGTCAAAATAAAAGGCGACAGTAGTGAAAAGGCCAAGGTGACATTATCAGAAAAGTCAAGGTTACAGTAACAGAAAGGTCAAGGCAACAGTAACAGAAAGGTCAAGGCAACAGTAACAGAAAGGAAAAGTTAAAGGTGAAAGTAGTGAAAAGACCAAGGTGACATTATCAGAAAGGTCAAGGTAACAGTAACAGAAAGGTCGAGGCAACAGTAACAGAAAGGTCAAGGCAACAGTAACAGAAAGGAAAAGTTAAAGGTGAAAGTAGTGAAAAGACTAAGGTGACATTATCAGAAAGGTCAATTAAGGTAACAGTAACAGAAAATGAAAGTAATGATATTAGACAGATCAAAGAAACATCTCCCAAAATTTTACAGTAATACAGTTGCAATGCCATGCCATTTGGTACACTAATAGCCATCTTATATATACATATATATACACATTTTTACATGCATCTTATGGTTGTGGGACTCTTATTCGATTGCCCACTATTTATTTTTCATCACCTTATCTAGTGATGTTTAATAGATTACAGCTAACGTCATCACCTGACCTTGAAATTGCATCCAAACTGTTTTTATTTGTAATTCCATCTAAATCTTACAAAAATATATTTAAATTGAATGACTTTTTATAATGATGCAGGTCACCATGGTAATGTGAGTGGACGTAACTTCCTGTACAGCTTTCTGCGAGAACAACCAATATGGCAGTCATTACGATTCTGGAATGCCGCCTTCTTTGATGCCGTTCAGTGTGAGCGTGCACGGCAACCCATGTGTACAAGGTAAATAGCCAATAGTCCTTCAAACTAATGGAGTTACAACCAGAAGTGGAGTCAAACCAGTCATGTAACTGATGGACTTCAATCTGTAATGATAAGAGAATACATTAAAGTGTGGCATCTCTTTCCTCTATATTTCCTCTGGTCGTTTAATTTCCATTTGTAAGCAAGTTCTCAGAACAACATGTGTCCTGTGCTTATTGACCATCAGGACCATGTTATAAATATACTTTCCTGTCTATTATGAATCTATGTTTGATACACACTGTTTTATCCAGACATCTGTAGGGACTAATGTGGTTACAATACACTGCCCATTTATTTATTTATTCCATCCTTCCAAAAACCAGGATCAAGTCTGGCCATCTTTTGTGACATGTTAAAAAATCAAAATTAAAAAAAAAAAAAATCAAACCCAATGGCAAAATGTGAGGGTTGTCTAAATTCATTCATAATTAATGACGATCATTAAATAGCAAAGAATGTATATGTTGACGTTTTAAATTTGTGAAATACAAAAAATAATAAAAAATCAACTATCTTTTGGTTTAGACTATACTGAAGCTAACAAAACATCAAACAAACCAAACCAAATCCAGGACATTGTACGTTGGTGCTGTGGTCAATGTTTCAGGTTTGGTATAGTCATAATTAGTGAAGGACTTGCTAATATGTTATGCAAATTAAAATATGGATATGCATAATACATTTTGTTGAAATCAAGCCGCGTTAAGGACAGTAATTGCATGGATACCAGTGACGTAGCCTCATGAATTATATGTTAATCTGTATTTATCATATTAACCATCAAAATTACCCTGGCTTTGCTGTTATGTAATGTGCATACAAAATGTTGAAAACGGACCGTTGATAGGGCAATTATTGAATGGGAACTTAAGCCTGACAGATATGGGATATTATATATTCTGTTGGGTTGTGATTACAGTTCCTATTAGTTATTGAAATTAACAAAACATATCTCTCTAAAACATGTGTTAAATACAAGTTCTGTCTGGTAGTGATGATAATGGCTACTGTTTTTCATTGAAGGAAACACAAAATATATGTATCTTTTCATTGGGTTGTTTTTTCGGCTCCCATGATTTATCAAAGCATACCTATCTAAAAACATGTTGAATATAAATTACGTTGGGTTGGGACAATGGCTCCCATTGTCTATTGAAATGAACAACAAATATCAGTCTAGAATTTGTGTGGATTAAGTATTCCTTTGGACTTGATAACAGCTCAATTGTTTCAATGAAAACTGACAAAACTTATGTGTCTGCAATGTGTGTTGAATAAAATTTCCATAGGGTCGTGACCACAGCTCTCATTGTTTAAAAGAAATATTGGTCTAGATCATTTGTTGAATAAATTTTCTGGGGGGATTTGATAAAAGCTCTGTTTAATTAAAGCTGACAAAAAGTATGTGTCTGGGACGTGAGGTGAATAAAAAACCCATTGGGTGATGGTAACATTTCCCATTGTTTCATTGACAGCCAAGGAACAGACCAAGCTCAAACTGATGACCAAGAGTTTCAGGAGAACATCACCTTTGGGCAGCTTGGGTAAGGTCTGACCCACTCACCTAATAGACCTCCTGTTACACACGATATGATATGCGTGCCTGGAGTGAATTAAAAAATCTTGAAGTCTAATATATATCCTAGTGGAATTTATGTTGGTTGGTCAATATTTGTCCATAAACCGTGGTTTGAGGCTTGATAAATAAGAAAAGTATATAAAAAATGCTTTCATGTGAAAAAAAACTAGGCCATGACTAAAAATGTAATATGTTGGTTTAACCATATGAAATGGCTTATACAGGGAAGTGTTCTTATTAAAATGCCTTTTCTTTTAAATCCTGCAAGTCTCCAATGTTAACTCGAATTTTTAATACCTTATATCAGTATCAAAAGTAAGATCAATAGTTTGTTTCATAGTTTCTTCATAATTCACGTTTCATGTCATCATCACCACTACTTATGAAATAAAGTTTATAGTTACAGCAATATCAAATCGGCAGTTTCTTCATATATAAGGGTTTAAATATTTCATATATTTATTTTCTGGAATTATGGCTAACCACCATTTAAACACATGTAGAAAGAAAATAATGAACTGTGTTCATCTCTAATATAATTATTTCAATCATGGTCAGTTCAGAATATGGTAATCTGGATAAGCATGGTCATCATGTTGCAATTCAATGATAAACCAAGGCTGACGTAGAACCATGATCAACTTCAGTGTTTGTCAAGGTCACTGCCGGAATTTAACCTTCATAAGCATGAAAATATCGACATTGATTTGTTAAAATCATTGATACATTGTACAAGAAACCACAGATATGAATGCTTTGTGGTTTTACCGGTTAATGGAAACAAACCGTACGAATGACACAGAATCAAAGTAGTTAGAATGATTTTAAATCACTTCATTATCATTAAATAATCAATATAAATAATTCTTTTGGTTTGATTGATGGATCTCTAATGTTAATAATTTTCTCACAGGACATTCACATGCAACATGCGATCTTTTGGGTTAAACAAGGATCTGTGCTTAGAGTTCCTCAGGAAACAATCGACCATTGCCAATCTGAAAGAAGGTAAGGGGGTATAACTCTAACCATGCTAAAGGATATTTATCCACAGTTATATGGTAGTGATGACATAAATGTATTATTTTTCAATACCATGATATTAAAATTCATTAAGTTTAGAGAAAATTGATAATTGTTAACATAATAAATATGATTATCTATGCACGTCAATTACATATTTATGATGCACCATCTGTAGTACTAGTATTTGATTTTCGAACATGGAAATTTTGATAGTAAATCTACCATTTAAAAGACAAAAGCTTATATTTTGTTTATTATTTTTCATTTCAGAACAAGTTCAAATGCTGAGAGAAAATGTGGAAAAATTGAGGGAAACATAAAACTTTGGGAATATTTAGGTCTTAAAAGATATGTATATACTGGTGTTTCATGCCTATAAATAATCCCCATCTTATAGCAACGCAATCATCCCAGATGTATAAGTTGTAACTGATCTCATGTGTATGATATACGTCTCATGACTCATGTTAGATATCTGACGGTTTATTCAGATAATGCTATTTTAGGAATATAGTATTTATGTTAGAAATATATTTTTAGTTTTGACTGATTGTTTTCATACTGCATTAATCTAAATTACGATAAGTTAAGAGAGCTATGGCGGAATACCGCCCATATTTCCCTAAGTCGGCATTTATGAAAACGGAAAAAATATTAATGAGTAAATAATTTCTAGCAGCGAAAATGCATAGAATTAAACCAATTGAAACTGAATTTTTGAACTGTTGAAATATTAGATATACTTAATATTATATCGCAAATTTAGCCATATTCACTATCTCTATGAAAGTGATGGGGTTTCCCCAGACTTCAAAAAAACACTTTCAACACTTTCCCATCCGAGGACCAACTTTTGAATAAGCTTTATTATTCCGTTATGTAATATGCAAAAACAAATCTATTCAGGAAAAGTGGTCCTCCTTTGGGAAAGTGCTTAAGATAATGAAAAACAGGGTTGAGCGAGTTTCTTAAAAAGCGACAGGTGTTTCTTGGGTTGAAACAGTTTGTATTCGCATCTTCGTCTATGTCCGATGTAGTAGCCGAATGTATAACGCAGTTAACTTGTGATCAGACGAAGTGAACGGTGCAAGTTCGAATCCACGTTCAGGTTCCTTTTTTTTAACATTTAGGCATGTGATCTTTTTCCTTAATTAAGTAATAAAATATTTTTCAAATCAATGGTACACTTTATTTATATTTCAATTACATACCTATTGATTTATCTTCTATGGAATCATGTCAAGAAATTACTGTACACGTGAACAATACAGCTACGCTTTGTAGATAAAACATCGTTTTAAAATATATTTATGAATTGTTTTACCCTTCAATTGGCACTAGTATTTTTTTCTATTATTTAAACACGAACAAATTATGCTGAAATACAACATAAAAACGTGGGATTGTTGCGTTAGAATAAAAAAGGCCAAGCAAAAACTAACGCAGGCAGTAGTAATGAAAATTAGATCCGTTCAAAATTCGTTGGTAATGATTGTACCATCTTGTGTTACATACAGCAAACCATTTGTTGAATTCTTAGAAATAACGCGAAATAAGCTTTTTGTTGAGTCTTTATCGTGACACGCATGTATCAATAGCCATGGCCCTGAATTCGGCTGTGTACATTAATCAATTCTTAGACACCGGATTCCGATAGAGCTAACTGTATAAAAAAAATACCCGAGGACGCGTCATAACAGTACACGGTGGCACGCGCGCACTAGCGGTCTCAACTTTAGGGATATAGGCATAGCAACCCGCCATAGCTCTTTGTCATCTTTAAACTTCCTTTCATAACAGGAATCCGATTGTTCAACTATCAGCTGGGTAATCCAGTAGATGAATGAGAAAAATATCCTGGTAGCATTATGAAGGTTACAGCTTACATTGAACGAATACCCTAAGTGTATTTTCTTGCAGTTTTCTGGCAAAAACATATCTGTAGCTGATTTGACGTTCTCTAGTACCATGAAAGTTCCTGAACTTAAGGAAATACTGGTGTTCAAAGCTAAGGAAAACACAAAAGATAAAAAACATCTCCTTAATTCTAGCATTGTTTTCCATGGAAATACTTAAGTTTAGGAATTTCTTTAAAAAAAAAAATGTTCGTGAACCTGGCGTCGGGTATAAAGTTTTTCTGTTCAGATCTGTTTTTGAAGGTGGTTTTTTGAAGCTTTGAAGAAGGATTCGCATCAAAAGCAGTATCATATTGTTCTGAAACAAAGATTCAATGATGAATTAATCATAATTGTAAAATAATATACACTGGTTAATACTTAAATAAATAAAGCAAAGAGTAGGACATTATTTTGTCAAGTTCATTGAAACATTTAACTAAAATGTGTATATTTATAATCTGCTATACCGCGCACGGTAATTCATAGTTACATGAGTATGGGTGTTCAATGCTGTTTTTATAATCTAAGAGATTGTCTAACAATTTAATCTGAACCTCTCGTAAAAAGGCAGTTTTGCCTATCAAGTTATCCTATAAATAGCATCGGTAATTATACCGATTATATATACTAGTTGTTATACAAACGAAACACATTTTATCTAGAATACAGTTGATCTAGGGTACTATTGAGGAACAATGATGCATCCGTTTTGATTACATGATATTCGTTGGAATTAAATGTAGTTTATACTCGATCAAATATTCTCCGAGGCAGGTAATGACATATCAATGAACACCAACGAATGAGTACCTTAATTTACAGCTGTCTTTTGCTGAAAACTTATAAAACCTTCCAACTATTATAGATTACTATACACGAAATATCACGTTCAGATAATTGTTTATTAAGCCCCGACCAAATACAGCCAACGTGTTGGTAAGCTCTTAGTTCATGTGCAGTGCAATGGCTGTATACAGTAGTTTACACCGATTTGGACTTCCCATCTTTCGGGGCCCTAACATCACTGATGCGTCCTACAAGGACAACACCGCTTTATGGTGCAGTGGTACTCATTGTTGACATACTGTATTAATCACCAGCTTGTATAGGTGCAGTCTCATGTATGTGTCTTACGTTGATCTGTAATTTTAAAAAATATATAAAGGAAGCATGATTTGACCATTTAAACTGTAAATAGGATTTCATGACTTTACAGTTGACGAGGGTAAATACTTGGTGCAATTTTTGTATGTGTTTCTGAACACAACATTGTTGATATATACTCATCCTGGTATTTAATTCACCAATGAACCTCATCTCCCGTAGTTAGAATACTCGGGGTCAACACACGTTTCATACGAACGGTAAATATTGAACACGTTTATACAAATTGTAGGGATAGCTAGGTATTTCATTTCAACAAATTGGCTAAGCCTATAAAGGTCCTTTCCAATGTGGTCTCACAAATATACATCTAGGCATGTGGTATCAGCCACGTGGGACTCGACGATGTAGCACTCGGTTTGGTTACACTGGTTGAAAAGGGTGACATTGCAATATTGTATATTTGTGATAGTACCTGCAGTGTAGGTAGACAGGCTTGTTACATATATATATCTATATCAAATAGAATGTATCTCACTGTCTCAACCCCTTACAAACAGACAAAATATATATGTGTACCATGTCCTTCATTTTGTCTTGCCCTGATTGTTTTCTTGTGCTGCAAAAGTTGCAGTGGAAGCAAAAATACTCAACATGTGTGACACCGTTATCACATAGCATCTTTAGTATTATAATAAAAATAGTTTTTTGAAGAAAATAGTCAGTGTAATAGTTATGAAAATATTTAACTGTAGACTATTAACTTTATGCTATTAGGCCTTAAAGTTTTGCCAGTAATTCGCTAGAAATAAAATTTAATGATATATCTAGTTATTTACAAAATTGAGATTCCGTTTGTAAAGTTATTTCTTTTTTCTCCACAAGAATTTAAGGTGTTTAAACAAAATTGCTTTTTGGTGCAATATAGTTATATAACTGTTGTATATGTGCAATGTTTAAACGGTTTGATCGTTATCGAATATTAGTAAGAGTAAAATGAAAGTAGGTCGCCGAACGCGAACATATTTTAATGTGCTGAACGTATAACTTGTACACACAGTAGTAGAGTGATTATGAGATGTACCTAGTATATAGTATAGCGGAGAGTCTGTTGACGAATGAAGGTTGATCGAATGTTTGTATGAGTAGTTAGTATACCTGTTGACGCTGTTATGTAATCATCACCATGTTACATTAGTGTTATATACCAGATACCATTACTATCCCATGTGTATCACCTTAAATGTAGAGGTAGTATGTGTACATTACGTATGGGGGAGTCTCGATGATCCAGCCACATTCCTTTCCAGCAAAAATTGATATAAACTTTGAAAGTGATAACGTTGTGAAGAAATGGGAAAATCTGTCTGCGAAAATTCGGCACTGATTTTGGATAGATCAGATAAAAATGGACAATCTGTCCCCTCAAACACTGTATTGATTTCGGTGAAACTTTTATTAAACAATTTTGTACAGAAAAAGGATAATCTGTCGCCTAAAAACTGCATTGATTGTAGTGAAACCTGAGTGAACAATTTTGTATAGTAAAACGACCGTATTGGTGGCTGGATTAACGGATCTCAACTGTATACCACTATATTGCCGTAGACAATGCAAAGTTGAAGGTTCCTTAACCGCATATTTGCCTTACTCGTAAAGATGTCTTAAGTATTTGGTTTTGCGTTATTTAACAACATAATAATCAAATGATTACGTTATTTTAAGAACATTTGGTAATTTACATATGCAAGAAAAATAGTGGCAAATGTTTTAAATTCTTTTTAGAAATAAAGATGTATTTAAAATCAATGATCATGTTCAGTTGGTCATTACAACAGGATTGCGATGATGATGTTGTTTAACCTCTGATGATATATTTCTCCAACCTTTGACCTATTTCTGACGTTATTCGAAATGTATCAGAAATGCATGGGTATATCCATGTCATAGACTGTTGTGTTTGATAGATTTTAATTATTGAGTGTTAAGTTTTTCAATGAAATTATTCGTTTTATATTCAATTGTTGTCATTTATGTTGGGTTTTTTTATAATTGTGTTGTTAAGAAAATACTTTATCGGTGATGTTAAAAGATATTGTTTGTTTACATTATTCTTGAATTCTATTGAAAGTCCATATACTCACTACAGATAAGAATGATCGTTGGGTAACATCACACACAATCATGACTTTAGCCATTCTCTGAACGCCATTCTCTAAACGTTCTTTCCATTTAACACTTTCACCACTGTAGACCATAATAGACTTGTCCTGATCAGTGCATGGTTGAGACTACTTAAGTTATATAGGGGTGAAAGGGTTAACGTAAGTGAGCGTAACTTCTTAAATTTTGAGGATGCACTTCAGCCCTCGCCGTTTCCGAAGAAAATATGCCATGCAAACTTGGTCCGTTTCGGCATGGCACCTTTGTTCGAAGAGTTCGTGTATAAGCCATGTTGCATTGGCCATTGTAATTAATATATGTATATATACATCCTATATTAAAACTACAACCAATTGTTGTGTTTCGTTATAGTTTTTCTACATTTGTCCAGAGGAATAGTCTCATTTTGTATATACTTTCAGTTGATGTTTGGATTTGCCTTCCAAGTTAACACAAGGCCCTGTATCCCAATGCAAATGTTAAGGACTAACAAACAATATATGTATGACTGTTTTCATGCAATACTTGTTCAGTTCATCTTAAGTCAATATCCAATGTCATCTTAAGTCAATATCCAATGTCATCTTAAGTCAATATCCAATGTCATACCTAACACTTTCACCACTTTAGACCATAATTGACTCATCCAGATCAATGCAAGGTAAAGTCTATTAAAATTACATGGGGATGAA